TGGAGTTGACAGCTCGATCAACAGTGGAACCAGCAACTATATCACTCTTGGGGGCCTGCTTTTTACATGCCTGTATGAGTCCTTTGAAAAGCTCAGAGTTTGGCCCACTGAACTCCTGGGCAGGGTCTGATTTTGCGAAATCAAGGAGAAATTTATGACAGTCACTGACGTGAGAGTTGAGGCCCTGGAAACAACATGAGAAAGAGAGAGAGAGTCGAGTTGAGTGTGTGGCCCACACAAAAGTCGCAGAGAACTCATTTCCATATTTATTACGTTTAGTTTTGTTTACTGCACTTATATCCTATCTTTCTTCTTGCATGGAAATTTGACTGGTCATCTGCATAAGTAAACCAGAGCTTGCTAGTAATCCTCGTGTCAGCAAGAGCCATAAGTGACTGGAAGTCAAACTGAAACCGTCCCGGCCTTGATTCTGCCCTGGTTGATTGCAGTGGCATAGCCTTCGTCATGCCTATCTGTGTAGGGCACTGCCAGAGGCTGGCATTATGATGAGTGCCTAACACAACCTCAGGGGGTTCTGGGGTAGTGGGCTTGTAGACACTAAAGTGGTCCCTGCAATGGTGCAACTAGATTTGAGATGGAAATCGACTTTTTAAATACCTCTGTGTTGCCTTGGTTAGTTTGGCCAGGCACACTTGCTCCCAGAGCCTGTTCGGGACACGTCTGCTGCCTGAAGACAGGTTTCCAGAGAGGAGAATTAAGAACAGCTGTCACTTTTGCAGAAGACAGTTCTGTTTCATTTCCTACCAGTTGGAGAAAGAGAGAGAAAAGCACAGAATTGAAGTTGGAACCGAAGCTTTCCCTCTGTTATTTTAAAATATACATCACTGGAAATGAAAGGTAAAGAAAGCTAAGCTTATGCAGGTCCCTGTGGATTCTTCAGGATGCACTATGAAGTCATCTGTTAGGGGGCTCAAGTCTATGTACTACATGGAGAAGTATGGTGTAGTGGTTAGAGTGTCAGACTAGGATCTGGGAGACCCAGGTTCAAATCCTTGCTCTGCCTTGGAAGCCTGCTGGGTGACCTTGGACCAAGCACACAGTCTCAAACTAACCTACCCGACAGGGTTGTTGTGAGGATAAAAGGGAAAGGGGGAGAATGTTGTAAGCCACTCTGGGTCCCCAGTGGGGAGAAAAGTGGGGCATACATGATGTAAAATAAATAAGTATGTGGTACGCCCTTAAAACATGGGACCTTAAGCAATTTCAGAGGGACACGGATCTGTAGAGAGATGTACTGACATTAAGAGCCCTTGTCCTATACTGGCCAGGCTACAGATGTGCCGAGACAGAAGAAGGGAATCAATCATATTAAGATATTCTAAAAGTTGTTCACAAAATCCCTGAGACAAGAATGCTTTAAGCTCAGTGAACAAAAATGTATAACAAACACCACTATATAACAATTCCTGACAATGTGAAACCCCAGATTTATAGTTACACTCTCTGAGCTCTGCATTAGAGCCAGGCATGAAGCACTTGCGTTGGTCCCTGTCCGTCCCCCCCCAAATTCTGAATGCAGTGTTGTATACCACTTAAGATGTTACAAAGAAAAAAGAAACACACCTGACAATCCTTTCCCCTTGTTCCTCACTGACAACCCAACTACAGAAGCACAGAAGGAAAAAATCAATGAACACCCCTTTCAACTCACCCTGTACAGACTTCAGCACCATACTCTGAGAAGCCAAGCGTCCCATAAGCCTGGCCACGAGAAGTTGCAGATCCAGGCCCCAAGAAACAGCGATGTCCGGCAGGCCATATGCCGTGACGGAGAACTTGTAGCCCCACTCATTGTTACTGCTGTCAGAGTGAAAGAGAAACTGCAGCCGTGGGCCAGCCTTAAAGGTCACTTTCTACAGAGCAACAAAACAGTCACATTTTTGCCAAGGGTAGCATGACAGGAAGGCACATCAGGAACGTTAACACCAGGGCTAATGAAGATCCCACACATACACCCCGACCCTGTTGTCTGGCACATTTTCTCAACCGGTTTTCCCCCCGTTTCACAGAACACTGCCCCAGCTAAATCACTTATGGAGACTAGGGCTTCCTGTTTCACATTAAGGGCAAGATCTGAGTCCAGGGTTTAAGCTTTCGAAAGCTGATACACCCTTTACATCTTCTTGGTCTTTAAGATGTTACTGGACTCAAACCTTGCTCTTCTACTGCAGATCCACACAGCTGCCCACCTGAAACGGTTTCACAGAGTCCAGCCAAAAGGGGGGGAGGGAGGCAACCCCGCCCCACCCCCACAAAATAACTGGACAACTGTGAGTGACATAAAAAAGGACTACATAACCAAGCTGCTGTCAAGCATTCCAAAATTCAACTGTACAATTAAGGTAAAAAGGTAAAGGTTCCCTTGCTCGAAAGCCAGTCGAATCCGACTCTAGGGTTGCGGTGCTCATCTCCGTTTCAAAGCCGAAGAGCCAGCGCTGTCCGAAGACATTTCCGTGGTCATGTGGCCGGCATGACTAAACACCAAGGCGCACGGAACGCTGTTACCTTCCCACCGAAGTGGTACCTATTTATCTACTTGCAATTTCTTGCTTTCGAACTGCTAGGTTGGCAGGAGCTGGAACTAGAGACAGGAGCTCACCCTGTCTTGCGGCACCCGGGTCTTGAACCGCTGAACTACTGACCTTCCACAGCCTGCAGTTCAGCGTCTTACAATTAAACTAGGGCTTAAAAACGTGAAGAGCTTTAAAGGATACTTCTCAGCCTTTAAGTCACATGAGTTTACTATTCAAGCAAATGGTTGAATGAAGACCTGAATTCCTACAAAGCGATTCTCATCATTATGAGATCATGCAATGCTTTAGCAGTCGACAGTAAATTTTCATTTATTAGGGAACCTCCATGCTCTGTCCACAGGTTTCCAAGAGGCACCTGGTTGGCCACTACAGAAAACAAGATGCTGGGCTAGATGAGCCACTGGCCTGGTCTAGCAGGTCCTCAGGAAACCCTCAGTGGGCACCAATGTCCTCGCTACCTCCTCGAGACAAAAAGACACGCCAATAAGAAAACCTGCAGTCAAGAGAACTTTTGACTGCGGTGGCAAGTCAAGGCACTGACTCACTGCATCTTGAGATCAGTTTATCAGTCACACTTATTGAAGCCACTCACCTTGGGCCACTTGTCTGTGCCAACTTTTGTATCATACCGAGTTTTTGCTCCTCTGGCATCGGTAAACTCCAGATAGTCATACCTGCAAAAAAAAAACCCATGCCCAGTCATAACTGACCATCTACCTGCAGTCTCAGGCGGCTGGATTCATAGGGGCCAAGAAAGCAAAAGGGGGAGAACAAAACACTGGACCTACTGTGAGGATTTGCTTTGACTAGGAGGTACCCTGCGTACACTGTACACAGACCCTGGGCGCTTTCAGAAATACTGAATAATGCCGTTTCAATCCACTTCAGTGGCCGCTTGCAACTGGATTTTGCCATTTGCACAGTAAAATCCAGTTACAAAGTGCATTGAGTGTGCGTGAAAAGTGACTGTATGGGCAATCAGTGTAGCCTGTGAACAGGGCTACACGTCCTGTGTGGTACTGTGTGTGTGCACACGCACAGAGAAATCCGCAGCAGAAGTTCTGCTCTTAGTGTTTGTTTACCTTCCATATCAAAGAACCCACGGGGCCTTATAGACACTGATCAGCTTCATCATTTTGTTTCCTTTCCACTTTCCGCCACTATATCTGACGGTAAAATGGCTGGGTTCCTGATGCAGATGATGAAAGCAGCAAAATGGGGTCACCCATAGACAAGGCTGGAATCTCTACAGACTCAGAGGATTATGCAGAAAAATATCTGCAAATGAACTGAGGGGGGAAACTCTTAAAAACTGGCCTGAGGACTGGAAATGCTTCAGAAAGGAGGGAATTTTGAAAGCCACTGAAAGGCAGCCACAGGGGAGGGGGGGGTGATAGTGAGAAATCAGTCCTGAGAGCTCAAAATCTTAGTTTGAGGAGCAAGCTGAATTTCCAAATTATTCCCTTATCGTGCAGCCTCCCCCACCCCCGTGCTTCATGATTTATATTTATAAGGTTAGAAATTGAATCAAATATATTTAACAGAACAGATGTACTTTATATTTTCAGATTATCTTTGGGCGCCCATTCAAAAAGCCAGACACACACCCCAACCACCTTGAAAACCACTTTGCAGGATATGACAATGAATGCATCAGCTTTAAGAACATAAGAGACGCCAATGTTGGATCAGGCCAAAGGCCCATCCCGTCCAACACATTAGAAGCCCTCCCACTGTTGACCCCCCCC